CTTTCTATCTTAAAAAAGCAAAAAGACCTCACCCTAACAAAGCAAAACAAACAAAAAGCATGCATTGAGGTAAAAAAAGCTAAAGAACAAAAATAAAATATGGAGTCCTTTTTGTGTTGGCCAACTATCCCTGAGCCCATGAGGCCTGTCCTTGAATATGGTTGATATTACTATTTGAAGAATATATTCAATTAAAGAAAACTGATTTTTCTCTCTCTCTCAGCATATATCAATTGCAAATAGCTTCTTAGACGTTTATGTGACTTGAACTTATACAAATCTTGTTCATGCTATCACACCCTCTGAGTTCATATGTGCATCAGCCTTGGTGCAGCTGGAAATTCCTGTCTCCTTGGCATCACCCAGCACCTCCAGATCTTACACTCTTTCTGCTTCCTCTTCTGCATAGGTCTCTGAGCCTTGAGGGGAGGGATATGTTAAAGACATCCCATTCAGGACTGAGCACCCCGGAGTGCCCCACCCTCTGCAATTGTCCAGTTGTGAGTCTCTGTTTATTACCGTCAGCTGCAAGGAGAACATTGTTATGCTGTATGTTCATCCTGTACTCTCTTACATGCAGTCATGGCTTCTACCAGAAACCCTTACACCTATCAGATCTCTAATAGTCATGCTCACAGTTTCTTGATTGACATTTCCTTCTTGATACTTGTTTTAATCACTTCAAACTTAAAATACCTTTAACTAAATTTGTCATTTTATCATCTCTGAAGAAGCCTTATTTATTCCTGGCATCATTCCTCAAGAATTCTAATTTTAAAAATCTTTGACTCCTTTGCCTTCCAGAAAACATATCTATTCTTTCTTTCCAAAGAAGCAATCCTAGACATCTTTTTTTAAATTTTTTTAAGATTTTATTTATTATGTATACAACACTCTGCTTCCATATATATCTGCACACCAGAAGAGGACACCAGATCTCATAACAGATGGTCATGAGCCACCATGTGGTTGCTAGGAATTGAACTCAGGACCTCTGGAAGAGCAGTCAGTGCTCTTAACCTCTGAGCTATCTCTCCAGCCCGCAATCCTAGACATCTTATACTGCTACTCTATCCCCTACTTTCCTACCCCAGTCCCTCCAGTCTCTTCTCAAGTCTTAATTATCATAATTAGATTTTTAATCAAGTCACCTTTGGATTCCAAATAATCCAATTTAGTCTCTATTGCTAAATAGGGCACAATATATAAACTCCTTAGTTGCACAGTCACAGCCCATCACAATCCAACAGACAAACATCTTTCTGAATGACTTTACAAAGACCCACCAAGATACATTTTCACGTTGCCACAGTGGGCCTTGTGCTAGTGTTCTTCAGTGTCTTCTGCATCTCTTCCCTTCCCTGTATACATTTATGTGTTCCTGAAAACCTATGCTACTTTCTTATATTGCTTGAAATAAGTCTTGTCCAGTCATTCTGAACAGAAGGGAATACTTTCTCTTGTTAACTATCACATTTTAAATACTGATCATTTTGAAATTATAATATTCTTCCATTCAGAGATGTAAATGTGTTTGTGTCTAAAGTGTGCACATTGTACCTTCCAAGCAGCAGCAAAAATACTTGGTTCATCTGTGTACTAACTGCGGCACCTGGCATCTGCCCTGTAAACTTTCTTTTGTTCTTTGTGTCCTAACACTCATTTTCTGTTTGTCTGGTACCATACCACACATTTTTAAGTACAATATTAACAGCCCACTAATCATCATTATATACCTATCCCCTTACTATATTTTTCATTTTAATGTAAAATGTAATATTTTTCATTTTAATGTAAAAATAGCAATTCTGTCTCTGCACAACATTATTAAAATATGTTCTACTGCAAAATTAATATTCTGGTTTTGCTGTGGAGCAATAGTAACCATCACTCTAAAGCCTTTAGCTGGATTCTCAGTTGTCACATTCTTAAGAGGTTAAGATTGTAAAGCTCTCATAGTTATATGGCTCACCCTCTTTAGCTACAAGGAAAATCCCATGTAATTTGTTTTAAATTATACATTACCAATCTAAGGATACTCAATATATTATACTGCTACTCTGGGCAATGAATGTGAAGTTCTGTGCTTTGAAGATTTTTTGGTCATAGTTGCATTAGTTAAGGTATCTTTTGTGGTTAAGTGGCAGAAACTCATCTCAAACTAATTTAATAGAAGGGGAAATTCACTCCTTCACAAAATTGAGTGGGCATGGCTTCATGCTCAGCTGAATCTCAAAGGATGCCACACTCCCACTGCTCCCCTTTCATCTTCCAGTCCTGGCACCTTGTATATTGACCTCATTTTCTCCCACAGTGTAGCCTCCAAACAACCAAGGTAAACAATCACTGCTTTATCTTTCACAATGTCTGTAACTCCAAAGAAAGTTCTAATTGCCCCTATTTAGGTCAAACCAGCACTATAGACTGGCCAGAGGGATGAACTACCTTGAGTGTTACTGCCTGGGTCAAATGACCACTCTATTTGTAAGAAAGGAACAGAAAAGAGCTGACCAACAGCTTTAGAGTCACATAGCATTAACTGAAGACACCCACAAGGACAGAGTATATAATTATCAGAAGTGAAAACAGAAGATGGGCAAACATTAAAAAAAAAAAATCAAACGCTTCCCTCTGCTACATTTCAGTCTCTGCCTGTTCAGGACACATTTCATTTTAGCTCTCCTCATATTTAAAAAATGCCCCAGGCAAAATAATACTATCATCCTCACTAAAAATGGCATTGAATCACACTCACTGTGAGCTCTGCTCCCAGCTCTGAGTCTAGAGTCTCACAAAGACAAGAACAAATCCTGTGTTTGGATATGACTCCCCATGTTCCATGCTTCATCAAGTCAGCTACACAATTAATAACAACTCCCCCAAAACCACTGATCAAAGAAAAGAAAAGTTAAGATAACAATAGTGAATATGCCTATTCAGAAAAGCAGATAGTAGTTAATGGTATTGTAACAGAGTCTATGCTATGCTCCAATCTTGGATTCCCAGGCTAAGCAGTGAGTTCTTTGGCCACCAGTTATCTAGACATGCAGGATCCCCATTTCACACACACAGAGAGAAGCATAGGAGAAAATATCTCCTTTGAGGAGTGAGATACTTCAGGCATTCACCCATGGACCTGTCATGGCTATGGGTCCTGTCAGTCAGTGTAGCACTTGTATATCAAGTTTATCTCGTTGAGGTTCAAATTTATTCTGACAATTTATCTCAAAACTCTGCTATATGCCATGAGCTTGACTCTTAGGAGTTCTGAGAAGTAATACCTAAGGCTACCTGTAGGCCTTATCATTAATTCTAGTCCTTGCCGGTGTAGTTCCAGTCTTTGAGCCATAACCTAAGATAGCAGGTGTGTTGACCCAAGTGATGTCCATCTTAGATTTTCTCTAAATGCTTGACTTGACCTTTGGTCTTGGCAAGCATGGAACAAAAGCTGGTCTGTGACTCTTTACAGTGAGTGAATTGTTACCTCTACTTGTTTTGGGATTCTGCAGCAAGGAGCGATGTCAGTATATCTAGGCTCAGTCTCTCAGAACAATTCCCAAGTTCAGAACTGGGCTGCCATCTTTCCTAGCTGTGTGATCATATTATGCAAGTCATCGGCCTGTTCTTTGCTTTATTGCCCCCACCTGTATAATGGCTAACTTACAGGACTGTCATGAGAATGAAATGAATTAATTCATACAAAAGAGTTAGAACAATGCCTGTCACAGGCTAAGCCCCACATGGCAGCCATTTACCAGTCTGGACATAAAAGGGATTTATAATAATTGTATGTGTTTGAGTATTGCTCACATGTACGTATGTGTAGTATGTATGCTTGCCCGGAGCCCTCATGGGGTAGAAGAGGGAGTTATATCCCCTAGAACTGGAGTTACATATGGTTGTGATTTGAGTGCTAGGAACTGAAATCCAGGTCTTCTGATAGAGTAGCAAATTCTCTTAATCATTGAGCAATCTCTCCAGCTTCACTCTTGACATCTTTGTCTTTTCTTCTTCTTCTTCTTCTTCTTCTTCTTCTTCTTCTTCTTCTTCTTTTTCTTCTTCTTCTTCTTCTTCTCTTCCTCCTCCTCCTCCCCTTCCTCCTCCCCCTCCTCCTCCTCTTCCTTCTCCTCCTTCTTCTTCCAAGTTCCAGTCTTTTCTCACACAGTAGTTCTCATCATTGTGATTTTCTGTACCTTATATTGACAAGGGGCTGAGTTCAGTTTTCCCATTCCCAAGTGACTGTCTGATCACCAGTGACTGAAAGTGGAAGGAGCTGATGTGGGGTTGGTTCATTGACAGCACCCCCAGTACCATCTGTAACAGAGAAAGGCTCCCCGGGAAGAAAGAGTAGATGCCAAAAAGAAGGGCCTTGAGGAAGGAAGATGTTAGAGACATTCTAAATTCTCCCTCATCCAGTTCTCAACACTGCTTCCTGATAGGGGTTTTGGGTTGAACCTTCCAAATGCAGCATCTGAGAAGGATGTAAGTGTGTGTGTGATCTGTGTGACTGAGTGAATCTCATGAAAAAATTCCATTAAAACTGAAGGAGTCCAAGGATCCCAAGACAAGGGACAAGAGCCAGGAAAAGATTCAGGCTCAGCGTTTACATTTGCCCTGACCCAGTTACCTGTTGTTAAAAACCAAAACCAAAACCACATAGCAGAGTTGTCCTTTAACTAAAAGTCACTGTTGGAACTCCACAGTAGTCAGGTACTGACCCATGAGGATAGTCATCTCCAGGGCAAGGTGACCCCCAAGGGTGGACATTTCCAAAGGGAATTTGTGAAGCCCTGGCAGCCAATATTCACTGATGCTGTGGTTTGAGAACACAGGTCTGGTAACAAGGCCCTCCATTGGCCTCCAGTGGCTTCTTCTACTAATACCACAACAGTGTTGAGAATGGCTAGTATTTATCAAATACATATTACACTTGCTCTAACAACATCCTGTGGGCGCTATTATACTTTGACCCTGCTTTTATTTTTATCTTCCACATACAGTGTATTTGGTGCCGAGAAGAAAGGCTTTGCAAAAAGTACTGTTTCCCATATTCTGACTGTAAATTCAATTCTATGTTTTGGGCAAACTGTAGAGGTGAGTTGTCCTCATTTAAACTTTCGTGACTTCATTTTAATTGACTTGTAAATAGTAGAAATTGGCTACACTTAAAGGATTTGAAATGATTACATTTGTTTTAGTAAAATTCTCTAGTCCAGGGCTGTTCTTCAATGTTGCCCTCTGGTCTAAGCTCATTGGTTGTTCCAGATGGAACTGATTCAAATTGAGTCAGGTAGAACCCTTGCCATAATATTCGACAGTTTAGATTTCATCTATAAAAATCTCTATTGTATGATATTCATAACCTAGTGAAGGGATGTTTGTGTTCTGATGTTGTAGAAACTCTGACAGTGTGTGTGTGTGTGTGTGTGTGTGTGTGTGTGTGTGTGTGTGTGTATGTGTGGATTCTGCATGTGTATGTATGTATATGTGTACATGTTAGTACTGAAATGCAGATTTGCTGAGCCTAGTGGTGTTACTCTAGAACATTTCCTCAGCTAATGTAGTCTGTATTGAGAATTATCATTAAGAATGGTGACTCCTACTTAAAACAGCAAATATCATTTTCCAAAAATAATCTTTATATTTGCAATGTCAAATTTGGACATCTTACATGGTAGTTACCAAAACAGAAAAAAGTGCTAATATTTTTCAATGAAATTTCCAGAAAAGCTAAAACAGGTGATTTTCCAAGTGAGCATTACTATTGTAAGAAAATCCTATCTGTCAATTAGTTGTCTGGTGTTTTTTTCTTAATTGAAGTGAAAATATATAATTCTGCCTAAATCTCTGCTTGCTTCAAGTTCTGCAGGTCTTTCAACCATCTGCATTTGTACCTTATAAAAAATACTTTGCATTCAATATGAACAGAAACTCTGATCTCCTATGTTGTGTTTTCCCCTTTAGTTCATTTCACTGTATTCCAGGCTAATAAGCTACATAGTCTGAAGGAGGGGAAAGTTCATCAGAGTAGAAATCTGCTTTCCTGGCAAGTGTGAGCTGTCTCTGACAACAAAAAACTCGTGCTTAGACAACAAACCACTCCCTATTGTCTGCAGGCACCTTCACAGAAACAGCAGTCTGAGGCCTCTACTATCTTACATTGAGAAAGTACCAGAAATGAAATAGAAGGCAAATAAAGGAAGAAAATGGTGCAGTAGTCTTCTAACCTCTTTTGCAATGCAGCTGATTTTCACAGCAGTGACTATTGCATTAGTGGTAGTCACAGAACATACGGTGCATGAGCTTGCAGGCTCATTCTCAACAATGATTTAAGAATGTATATCTAAGAATCCAGATTGCACGATACTAGAAAAGTTAAAAAGCATAAGAAATTTTTATCTGTTATTAAAATATGTCTCTTTTCATCAATTTCAGTTGACCTGTTTGGAATCATGATGCTGATACTGGTTGCATTGTTAGCAATAGGATTCTTGTGGTATTGCCTCGCCTATTACTTATACATGGAGGAGTATGTCATTTTACCTTCCCTAAAAATTCACTTTGGGATGATAGCACTGAAAAAATACTAAGTTAGTTAGTGTTTAATTTTTTACTTAGTGTGAATACTGTACCCACATGGTAAGGAAACACTGAAACGCAATGCAATGTTGTAAGATGAAAAGAGAGAAGAACCAAGGTTCCTGACCTACCTCCACCTCTAGCATGGCATTTGCTGAAGCTGTCCTTCAGGTGGTTGTTTGTGGGTCTGCTGATTACCTCTGTGCAGCTCAACTAGATGGCTGAATACTTTATGCCACACTAATCTCACATACTCTTACACTGAGCTCCCATTTTCATTGTTTTTAGTAACCTCGAGGTTATTAATATTTATATAATGCTTATCTTCTGGAGTTTACTTAGTCCATTTAATCCTCTGTTTTTTATATCTGAGTCTTTTATTAAGATAAGAAAATTTGATGGCCAAGGGTGGTAATGCTCCCCTTTAATCTTCTGCTGTTGTTTTTCAAGAGAGGGTTTCTCTGTAATGTGGCTGTCCTGCAACTAGCTCTGTGGAATAGGCTGGCTTCTACCTCCCGAGTGCTGGGTTTAAAGGTGTGTGCCACCATGCCAGGCAGCTGTCCTTTAGCTTTAGCTGAGAGACACAGGCAGGGGTACCTTCTGAATTTAAATGCAGTCTAGTGTACATAGTTAGACCTTGTCTCAAAAAATAGTTTTTGAATCCCCATATTTCTTATCATTTATCCTCCCTCCCCGTGAGCCCCCAGTGTTGTAAGCTTTCATATTCATTTGGCTTTATGTAGAGGTCACTTTCCATTTTGTGACTATAATTCCACCTCAGAATGCTCACATTTCAAGTCTGAAATTTTGAACTATTCAAGAGAATAAAACATACAAAGGAATAAATACAGTACACAAACTCAAAATGGAAGTGGCAAATATAATTCTACACCACTAACCCACATTGCTTGAAAGAGAATTATCAATGTCCAAGTCAATGGAATTCTCTTTCTTTGCACCCATTTCTTAAAATCAAGCCATTTTCAGCTTGCTTCAAACTGTTTCTTTCTTGTCTGTGCCTGAGTTTCTAGGAATGTTACTTTTTTCCCTTGGAGTTTTAAAATAGCTTCACTACTTCTTGTCATTCAAACTTGTAGCTAGGCACAGTGGCAATACGCCTTTAAGCCCAGCACTTGGGAGGTGCAGGTGAATCTCTGTGTATTAGGGTAGCCTGATCTACAGAGCAAGCTCCAGGATAGCCAGGACTATAGAGAGACACTCTATCTCAAGAAACTAACCAACAAACAAAAAAGGACCTTTACTTTATTAACCATTTATTTTTATATTTGATGTTTTTTCCTACAGTCATTTTCCTGAAACTCTCCCGAACACATTTTTAATTAAGTTGGCATACACAATGATACATTTTCTAAATATACATTATTAAAATTTGTTCTTCCTCTCCATGCCCCACACTGTCTTCTTCTATTTCCCTTACTCTGCTGCTTCTCCCCCTCCCCCTACCCACCTATCAGGCCTCCACTGTGTTTTCAATTTCAATTTCAATTTCAATTTCAATTTCAATTTCAATTTCACTATTCTAATTCACAAAATTAGTTTCTTTTCACAACTAAAGTAGAATATTTTGATTCCCTGTCTTCCTCTGTTTAGAGTCTTTCCCTTTTGTTCCCTTTCCTGGAGAGTCCTTTTCCAAAGGGGCTTTGCAGAGTTTGAAAGTATCCATACAGTTCACAGTTCCTTACCAATTTGTCTTTTCTCCAGTCTTTTATGGTCAGATTATATGTCTCTTATAAGGAGAACCCTTCAATAAGACAGGAAAAACCAAATATAAATAGATGGATGCAAATAGGCTTATCTGCATGTGTTTTATTAAAAAATATAAATGTTGGCCAAAATAGTTTATTTGTTTGTTATAGCACCTCTATTTTGTCTAGAAAATTATATTTTTTCTGATATTGGGGTTTATGTCCTTCTCTCATTGACACATCAGTACAAGACAGAGCAGGGTGTTGACATTCCTTTCCTCTCAAATAACAAAAAGATAATTGTGGGAGAACTAATGGGGTACAGCACATTGGTGGCAAAAGGCTCTTTTTTGTTGCGTTTTCTTTAAAAGATTATGGCATATTATGTCACTACTTTTTTGTGTGGTACTTATGAACAAAATAGCAAATGACATGCATAGGATTAGAGGCCATAGCAAGTGCCCACTGCTGAATCTTCTTTTATACATTTTTTAAAATGACTTGTAAATATGCTCTAACAATTGTATTTGGTTCTGATTTAACTTAGCTGTCCATCTTCATTTTAAATTTCTTTCATAGACATTCTATGCCTTTGTTAACTGAGTGGGCACAGTATTCATGAGAGGAATTTATTCAAGGAGATGTTGTTCTTGATAGTCCAGTCATCCTGGCTGGGTTCTAGTGGAGATGTGGCATAGCTGCAAAGTGCTGGCCTAGCATGCATAGGGCCTGGGGTTCAGCTCACAGCACTGAAAAGAAGGTCTTAGAGAAATAGCAGTCTGTACCTCAAAAATGTTTATTTCATCTGCTATAATTTTGTTAGCATAAAAAAATGAAAAGTTTTAAATGTTCATAAAGCATAGGTACCTGAGGCTTTCTCAAATCCATCTGCGCTTTATCAAATAGTTATTATTTGATATGTACTAAATGTCCCTGTCACTAGAGATAGAATGATAGAAAGACCAATACTTGACTTTCATTTGGGACAGAGATGAGTAAAGAAGCAGTTGTTGGTTTTATTGTTAATTGATTTTTTACATGATATTATATTTAATCCAGTTGTATTTTTCTTAAAATGTACTAGTTCTGATGAGTAGATAAAAGAATTTATGTTAATAAAGCAAAGAAGATGAAATATTTTATAACTATACTCTATGTAATTAATCGAGATAAGTTCAACTATAACCAATCTTAAACTTGAAATTCACCATCATTTTGAACAGGAGGCATGCCTTTTATTTGGCAAGAAATGTGCGTGTTCCTGGTTACAACTGGAATGCTAGTAAGTGCTTTCATCTATTTGATAGGCTATATCCCAGACTTTTTCAGGGACTGACAGCCAGAAGTCATGCTTTTACTGTAGACCACAGAGTTAGAGTCCATGTGGGAAACGTGACAATAGATTTCATCATCCTCATTTTTAAATACACTTTTATAACCTCAATAGTTAGGCTAGGATTTGCAAAATTGTAATAGAAATAATGATCAGAATATTGGCACGGAGTGTTAAAATTTTAAACCATTTGGGGATTTAATTTTTCCCTTCTTTAACGATGAAATCCAAGGAGACCTTTGTCTTAAGGAACCCTTGTGGACTTTCTCCTTCATCTCACCAGGACTCAAGCTACCCAATGTGTATCTGTTTTCTGGGTTCTTCCAGCTTTCCCTTAGTTACTCCCTCACTTGGAACTCAAAGTGTGGCTTCCTCTGCTACTCACCTTAGTTTATACAAGGAAGAGAATAAATAGGCTTCCGGTTTGTGGAGTAGGGAAACAGGGCATTTATACAATGTCATTTAACCACAGTGCCACTCAAGAAGCAAGAGGGAGAAAGCACTCCTTCTGGCTCCCACTGATTTTTTAGAAAAATAATCTGGATGATGTCCTGGTTTAGGGAGTCACTGAGTGTCCATTGATTTTCTGTCACTGAGGACAACTAGTCTTGTGACTTCCTCAAACATTTGACTTCTTCCTCTTTGTCAAATTCCCACTCAGGCTAATGCTACATTACATTCCATGATCCCTAAATATTAAAATGGCAGTAGCATTAAGATCACAGTGGTGTATTTATGGCATTTACAGACATTTTACGATTAATGTTTTTTAAAGATTAAAACTTTAATGCTTTTATTGGATTTTGTTAAAAGTATTTGAAAAGGTGAATTTATTTTCCTTTTCCATAGTATATTATAGATAAGTAGCTGAAAAGACAGATCTTTCCAAGAGAGAAGGAGAACTTTCTTCAATGGTAAGTTTCTCAGAAATACTACAAAGAGTTTCTGTGCCCCTGCTAGTTTGTAGGAAACGGCTTTTCAGGAACGCATACTTAGAATTATTGAGAAGGACACATAAATCTGTGAATTCTATAGACAAATTTCAATCCCCAAGCACATTAAGGAAGGCAGCAGAAGAGGGAGGTGTGAAGTCTGGGAGTCAGGCTTCTCTTTTAACCTGGGTTTAGTGTAGCCAAAGGGCTGCTGCTGAGTTATGGTTTCAGAAAACCAGCTCTCACTTTGTGCATCTTTTTTTTTTTTTTCCTTTTCTCCTGGCTTGTATTTAATTTACTTCTGTCTTGGTCTCTATTATTTCCTACTAACTCCAGGCTTAGTTTATTCTTTGTCAAGTTTCTCACGTGTAACTTTATTACGTGGTTTATTCTTGACGATTCTCCTTTATTTTGTGGTCACTCAATTCTCTTAACTACTCTCTTAGAACTCCCTTTGCTGACCCTATACATTTCCATATTTTTTGATCTCAATAAGTAGTTGTTCAGAGGCATGTTGCTTAATTTCCACATATTTGTGAATTTTCTAAGTTTTTTTTTTCTGATTTTTAGTTTCAGAATTTTGTGAAGAGATAATTGATATGATTTCAGTTTTTTAAATTTGAGAAAATTTGTTTAGTGTCCAAACATAATCTACCTGGCAAATGTCTCATGAATCCTCAAACACGTGTGTTCTGTTGCTACTGCTCTGTATATGTCTGCACAGTCTGAAAAATCATTCAAATCCCACATTTTCTTGTGGATTTTCCTCCTTCCTTCCTTCCTTCCTTCCTTCCTTCCTTCTTTTTTTCTTTTCTGAGACAAGGTTTCTCTGGGTAGCTCTGGCTGTCCTGGAACTTTATCTGTAGTCCAGGCTGGCCTGGAACTCACAGAGATCTGTCTGTCTTTGCCTCCTGAGTGCTGGAATCAAAGGTGTGCTTCACCACTGCCCAGCTGTTGTTGTTTTTTTTTAATGCATAATGTATACGTTGTTGAAACTGGGATATTGAAATTCCCTATTATTTTCTGTCACTTCAGATCTATTTAATATCTATTTATATTTTTAGATTTGCCAGTGTTGGGTGTGCATGTATTTACAGTTCTAATTTTGTGTGTGTGTGTGACTTGATTCCTTTGTCACTGGGTAGTTAGCATAAGTTGACACTAATAAAGATTACCATCAGTTATTATGAAAGAAATGTAATAAATTCTCCAATCAAAAAGCATTGAATGGCCTTAAAAACAACCCCAGCTATGTGCTATCCATAAGAAACTTAATCCTTCTCTCAAAACATACAAGAACATGTGTTGAAAGAATTTCCATGCAAATGGAAATTGAAAGAGAACAAGGCTAACTATACTTCCACCATACAAAATAGAATTCAATAAAAAACTTAGAAAGATAGAATTAATTTTGGAACTCATTTGGTAGTGTTCTTGATTAGTATGCACAAAGACCTGAGGTCATTGAATAAACTGAGTGTGGGGGCACACATCATAGTCCTAGTACTTGGAAAAGAGAGGTAGATGGATGAGAAGTTCAAGGTCATCCTTAGCTACATAGTGAGTTCAAGGCCAATATAGGCTAAAGGAGACTGCCCCATCCCTAGAAAAATTAAACACTGGAGAAAGAAACCAAGATTGTCTTCATATAACGATAACGATACTAACATCATTTATTTCCAAAGTTCATTTTTTATCAGTGATATGAGATAGAATATTTTTCATGATTTAAATTTCTATTCTTATTTGAGTACAAATACACATTTATACATATATAGTATTTGCAGTGTGTGTTTTCTTGTGCACTCTTTGTGAAAGCCAGAGGTGAACAACAGTGTTTCCTCTATCACTTTCTGTTTGTCTTTTGAGACAGGGTCTCTCACTTCATCAAGAACTTGTGGTTTTGGCTGGACTGGCTGGCAGTGAGTCCCTAGGGTCCAGCACCCCCCCCCCAATCTCCTCCCTAGTGCAGGAGTTACAGTTAAGCATTGCCACACCTGGCTGTCATTTAGGTGCTGATGACCCCCACTGAAGTCCCTGTGCTTGTACATCAAGCTTTCCCCACTGAGCCATCTCCTGCAGCCTGCCAAGTACATCTTTTTTTTTTTTCTCTTTTTTCTTTTTAAATGGTTTTTCCTAGACAGGGTTTCTCTGTATTGCTATGGAGCCTGTCCTGGAACTCTCCTGTAGACTAGGCTGGCCTCGAAGTCACACCTGCCTCTGCCCCCCAAGTGCTGGGATTAAAGGTGTGCACTACCACTGCCCAGCCCGCCAAGTACATCTTTGCATGTACATTCACGGCCACTGGTCTGTCTGCTTGGTCATTTCCTAGTACCATAATAGTTTCATTGTGAAGTTCAACAAAAAATTTAAAAATATTAATGGACTTAAATTCTTCCCTACCTTACATTATTTTTCTTGTTTTTATTTTTGTTAACTTTAATTTCAAGTAGAATAAATCTTTTAAAGTCTTCCAATGCTTGACATTTCACAAAGTTAAATTTATGGTCTCTGGCAATTATCATTCCAGAACAACATACAAAGCAAATCATGATTAGGCAATGGCGTCTTCAGATCTTCTGGCTTTCATTCTTTTTCATCTTCCCCTTCCTTCCTCTTTATAGCCATCCCTGCCTCTTTCCACCTGGATCCCCACAGCAAGTTTGCCTAACAAACTCGGGGTTGGTTTTAAAGTGTATCTCTCATCCTGCCTGTTTGTGCAGAGCATTCTGTTTTGAATCAAAATGTTATTGGATGACAGCAGATTGATACTTATATAAATAATTAAAAGAAACCCAAGCACCTAAACACCCCATCCAATCTAATTTATGAACTTTCTAAATAAACACACAGTTCTCAAGAGATGAACCACAAATGCCCAAAAACACACAAAAAATGTTGAACCTCGGGCTGGAGAGATGGTTCAGAGTTTAAGAGTACTGACTGCTCTTCCAGAAGTCCTATGTTCAATTCCCAGCAACCACATGGTGGCTCACAACAGTAATGAGTTCTCTGTAATGAGAACTGGTTCCCTCTTCTGGTCTGCAGGCATGCATGCAGGCAGAACACTGTGTACATAATAAATAAATCTTTAAAAAAAAAGTGTTCAACCTCACTAGCCATCAAAGAAATGCAAACTGAAGTTGATGTGAATGATATAGTCAGAAAACAAATAATAAATGCAGGGAAGATGCTTGTAAACTGGACCAACCATTATGGAAATCAGTATTACTTCTTTTTATTGGTGATACATTTCATAAGGACAGTCTCTAGTATATCGTGCATTTTGACATATTCAGCTGTCCCCCACATCCTTCCCTTCCTGTCCGCTCCTCCTTTCACACCTTCCTTTCCCCAGTCTCCTACTTTTATCCTGTGTCGGAAAAGTTTTCACTCTACAGTTCCCCCTACACCAACCATTATACTTTTAAATGTATGATGTAGAAGGCATCATTTTGAATAGGTTTGATTTGTGTATCTTATTGAAATGTTTGGTAGTTGTTAAAAATTGGACTGATCTTTCCAAATTGTCTTTTATAAGGAAATATTTTGAAAGCTTAGACTGAGCCATTGAGGCATACTACTACAAATTCAAGAACTAGTCATATATTTTTTATATGTATTGGTGAATTTAAAGGAAAGATGATGAACTCTACTGAGGGGGAAAAAGTATTGCTCTAACAATGGCAGAAGCAGGATTAGAGAAAGAGGGGGAAGTGAAGAGGTAGAGAATCCAGGTCCAGAGGAACAGAAGACAGAACTAGAGCTGGAAGAAAATGGCCATGTTATGCTGCTCCCCTAGAAAGGGCCCAAAGGCCTGCAGGATTTTGGTAGAGGTGTCAGCAGCTGTACCACATGTCAAAGATAGAAACAAACAGTCTTGGGCAGAGGGGAGAGTTGACTGCCATGTAGACACTGGAGAGAGCGCATAACAAATCATAGAATGGGCTCAGGAACCAGCAAGGCCTTTGGGGGATGACCCAGAGAGGCTGCAGTGTCAACCATTAGATGTAGGATTCAAAACACAATTTTACTGTAGTCAGTTTGCAAAAAGGGCCTGACACTAGGGAGAATGAATGCCTTGTCCCTGGAGAGGAAATAGGAGTGACATGATGTGGTCCTCACCACAACAGCGGCATTGATCTAGGACAATGGTTCTCAACCTGTAGGTCACAATCCCTTTGGGGGTGTTGAATGACCTCTTCACAGGGGTCACCTAAGACCATCGGAGAACACAGATATTTATATTATGATTAATAACAGTAGCAAAACTACAGTTATGAAGTAGCAACAAAAAATAATTTTATGGTTGGGGTCACCACAACATAAGGAACTTTTTTTTTTTTTTTTTTTTTTTTTTTTTTTTTTTTTTGGTTTTTCGTATAGGGTTTCTCTGTGATTTTGGAGGCTGTCCTGGAACTTGCTCTGGAGACCAGGCTGGCCTTGAAGTCACAGAAATCCGCCTGCCTCTGCATCCCAAGTGCTGGGATTAAAGACATCAACACAGGGCCCATAAGGGTAGCAGCCTTAGGAAGGTTGAGAACCACTGATCTAGGGGAATGTGGAAAACAATGATTCTCTTCCTTCCCCTTCTAGTATTTTCTCTAAAGCCTAAGTGTGCTAGCTAGTTTTATGTCAACTTGGTACAAGATAGAGTACCTGGAGAGGAGGGATCCTCAATTGAGAAAATGCCTCCATAATAAGATCCATTTTCTTAATTGGTGATTGTTGTGGAAGGGCCTAGTCCATTCTGCCTGGTGCCACCCTGTGCTGTTGGTCCCAGATTCTACAAGAAATCAGTCTGTGAAAGCCATGGGGAGCAAGCCAGTAAGCAGCACCCCTCCATGGCCTCTGTATCAGCTCCTGCCTCCAGCTCCTGCCTTGTTTGAGTTTCTGTCCTGACTTCCTTCAATGATGAACAGTGTTGTGGAAGTGTAAGCCTAATAAGCCCTTTCCTCTCAAGTTGCTTTGGTCATGGTATGTCATCATAGCAGTAAACTCCCTAGCTAAGACACTAGGTAAAGCTTGAAATTTCTTCCAATTATATGCCTTTGTCACTACTGAGTTGATTTTTCTTTGAACTGATCCAACACAAAAACTGGGCCTTTTTAATATTCAAGTTTAATAAATTTTAGGATGGAATTAATTGTGGCAGTTACTGAAAAGGTAAATATACACCAATATAAGATGGGAGATTTACCAGGCAAAAAAATTTTTAAATGAGATATTTTAGGTAAAAGATTAAAAACAAATGTAATGGATCAGGATAGAAAACAGAAGGTATAATTTTCACATAGAAAAAAATAAGAGATAGAATTGGCAGACTTTCTACTAAAGAACCAACAAGTGTTTTAGGTTTTGGGAGCTTTCTGATCCCTGACATAACTGCATTGCTCTTGTAGAGCGAAAACACCATACACAGTTCAGAAATGAATATGTGTCTGTGTTCCAATCAAGTGCATGTTTTTGGTGCATGAGCCATGATCTGTGGACACCTTGTTTAGATGGTCAAGAATGATCACTTAAATACAATCTTATAACAATATTTTTACTTAAAAGTAGAATTAAAGAGAAATCTTTCCATTCTTTGGCTG